TTTTATATCACATCTGTAACAACACTGCAAGGGTACTGTGAAGAACAATCGCAGAATCATGGAATTGCAGAATAATTTGAGTTGGAAGGCCACCTAGTCCAATTTCATTGCAATGAACAGGAACACATACTCCTTGAGTAGGGTGCTCAGAGCCCCATCCATCCTGACCTTGAATGTCTCCAAGGATGGGGCATCCACCTCGGCAGCCTGTTCCAGTGCTTCTTACACCTCTCATAAAATTCTTTTCTTATATCCAATTTAAATCACCTTTTTTTTTAAGTTTGAAATAATTTCCCCTGTCCTACCACAACAGATCCTGCTAAATTCTGTCTACTTCTTTCTTATAGCCCCCTTTTAGATACTGAAAGGCAGCTACCAGGTCTCTCCAGAGCCTTCTCTTCTCCAGGATGAACAGCTCCAGCTCTCTCAGCCTGTCCTCATAGGGGAAGTGTTTCATCCTTTGAACATTTTTTGGCCCTCCTCTAGTTCCTTTTAACAAGTCTATGTCTCTCCTGATGCCTGAATGTGCCTGAATGCATCCATCAGTTTGAACTGATAAAAATAATGGTGATTCCTGAGTCTGGAATATAGTATTCCAATCAGGTCACACCTAAAATGAAATATCTTTGTATTTTCTGTTAAATTTTACTTATCTCATAGTACCTGTTTTCACAGAAGTACAGTATTTCTGATTACTTCATTACTGTAATACTCATACAGTATTACAGCCTTCCCGTTGTGCTGGCTGCTCCAGCAGGGAGGTGCTTGACGTGTTGCCACTCATAAGCTGGGAAACACACTAGTCCAAACTCTTTATACAGCACTATGCACACTAGATTAATCTTAAATACAAACTGAACTGAGAGTGACAAGATATCACATAGCCACAATGGGAAATGTAAGGTAACTATAAATAAACAAGAAATAATACTGCTTTTGAAATATGCTGTGCATTTCTTGCTTCAAACAAATCTGTTGTCTGTGAATTTGAATTTGAACCTGAGTGAAGAAATGTTTTCCAAACTCTGAACAGTATTGACCTGTGATGGACTCTTTGAAGCCGCTAGCTATGGGATTATCTGAAAACTGTGTACTGCTCTGAGACAGGGAGACAGCAAAGATGCACTTAAATGATTTTTTCTGCAGTGCACTATCAAAAAAAGGAGGGGGAGGAGCAATTCATATTACCCACAGAACTGCAGATGATAAGGAAAGTCAATGTATTATGGTGTTATACAGGCTTTTAGGAAAGGAGAATTTTTTCTCCTTTTTTTCTTTTTTACTGTGCAATGTCAGACTGTAAGAAGAGCACAGTGTTGAGTTTGATTTTCCCCCACAGTTTAATAACTTTTAAATATGGCATCATCATAAATGGCTAGCTTATAAATTAAAAATGAAACCTACATGGAGGCCTGGAGAATAATTGTGATTGGTAGACTACTTGCCTGGATCTTTTGTTACCTTTTCAGTGGAGAATAAAAAGGAGTTTGTTTTCTTCTTTGCTCTTTCTTTGTCTAAAAGAAGAACAGAGCAAACAAACAAGCAAGCAGAAAGGTTCCTTTCTTGGTACAATATTTCATCTCCATAGTAAATGATGATCTCTATAAGTGGAATTACATGGTAAGCTTTCAAAAGTAAACAAAGGAACATTGCTTACCTGGAAAGTTTTCCATCTCACTTATTTCTAAAATCATATGAACACACAAATTTTCTTACATCTTAAATGCTTTTATTTGTGTACAAAATGTTATAATTTATCAATATTATGCAGCAAGGTATTGCACACATTCACACATACATTCCCTTCCCGCAAAACATACACAGGTACAAATATAACACAAAAACCAACTCCCTTTCTCTCTGCCCTTTAGAAAGGCAACACTGTTTTGGCAGATCAGCAGCTAGAAATAAGGTGCTATAATTAAGCAGTATCAGAACATCTTCACTTTACCAATGTGATGTGCAAATTTATGTACAACCATTTTTTTTTTTCCACAGAACTGAAAAGTTTATACCCTGAACACTTTCAAAGATACAAACATGTATAAAGTGCTAATATTTAAGCATGTTTTCAATGACTTCACAACAGAGTTTGAAGTTTATAACAGGCACTGTAATAATTCACTAAGTGGATTGTCACTTGGTGCAGTACTACAAAAAGAAAAGTCACTCAGACATCGCTAGGGGACCGGGAGCGAAAGGACACTTTAGACTGAAAGCAGCCACAGAAGAGAACCCACATGGACCTCTGAATTTCTTGGTTTCTGTAGGCGTAAATAATAGGATTGATCATGGAGTTGTAGGTAGCAGGTAGAAGCGTGGCATAAGTGTACACAGAAGGGTAGTTGGGATCCCCAACCACACAGTAGATGGCAAAAGGTAGCCAGCTTGCTCCAAAAGTCCCGAGAATTATAGCAAGAGTAGACACTCCCTTTTTGGTAGCAACATAGTGTGATGCAGTCAGAAAATGTTGCTGGAGAGCTATCTGATGGGCATGTCTGCAAACTATTTTACAGATTTCAATGTACAGATGGAGCATGATGATAAAAATGAGAAAGAAAGAGGCAGACAGCAGAGTCACGTTGCTCTTGGTCAAGGGTTTGACAATGCTGCAGGCAGCGTGGTCATGGAGGCAGTTCCAGCCCAGGACTGGCAGCAGCCCCAAGCAGAGGGAGACCCCCCAGGTGCACACCAGCATAGTGTGGATGCACAGCACCGTCCTCTCTGAGTAGTAGGTGAGAGCATTGTAGAGAGAGAGGTAACGGTCGACCGTGATGGCCAGCAAGCTACTCACAGAGGCGGTGAAAGAGGCAACGAGGAAGCCCACGGTGAGGAGGCTGACTGTCTCGGAACGGATCACGTACTGGAAAACAAAGTTGAGGATGAGGCCAATCCCGGCCAGCAGATCGGCAGTGGCCAGGCTCCCGATGAGCACAAACATGGGGGTGCGCAGGGTGGGCGAGTAGCAGATGATGGCCACCACGATGGCGTTCTCGCAGGCGATGGCGGTGCCGGAGACGCACAGCATCACGTCCCAGGGGTTGATGGCGGTGGGCGCGGGGGGCCGCGACGCCAGTTCCAGCGAGGCGTTGCCGGCGCGGGCAGGCAGCCAGGGGACCGCAGCCGAGCTCTCGTTCAGGGCCGCCGTTGGCTCCATCGCCGCCGGGGCCGCCAGTGCAGGGCAGTAGTTGTGAGCGGAGGTGCGGCGGGGCGCGGGGCGCGCATGCCGGGCGGGGCCGCCGCCCTGTCCGTGGTGCCGACCACTTCTGTCCGTGGTGCTGAAGCGCTCTGTCCGCGGTGCTGAACGCCGCAGCCCGCGGTGCCGCGAAGCTCTGCTCGTGCGCGGCTCTGCCGCCCGAAGTTTCCCCGCCGTCCCGGCCGCCGCCGATCCCCGCGCTCCGCTCGCTGCGGCTTCGGCGGCGGCTTTGGCGGGAGCGGGCGGCCGACGGGGCGGGCCGGGCAGCACGGGGCTGACGTAAATGGCGGCCCGCCGCCGGGGGCAGGGCGCTCGCCACCGACCCGCCGCCGGCTCCTGAATGGGCGGGGGCAACCACCACCGGGGGCGGGAGCGGCTCAGCGGGAGGCGGGGCGAGGAGCGCGGGCCCGCCGTCGGGGTTGGTGGGCGCTAGCGGGTCGGACCTTCGCTGTGCCGCCGTGCGTGCGGAGGGAGAGGTGCCGAGGGTTTCAGAGTGCAGCCCGGGGTCGGAGGTTCTTCACTGTCGCAGTGAAAAAGAGACGCCTTTAATCACAGCTCCCCTCCGGCTCTGCCCTCTCATGAATGTACAGAGGCTGCTGAACAGCCTCTTAGGCGGCAGTGAGGTCGTCTTGGTGTTCCCTCGCGTATTCCTTGCACCCCGTTTTTCACAGCTCTTGTGCATGAATGCTCTCAGTCCCACACTCTGAAAGGTTCGGCAGAGAGCTGGACTGGAGCTGTGGGAGCATAGGAATGAACGTTTGCTGTTGCAGCTTGCTCAGGAGGAGCAGTGTTCCTCCTCTCTTTCATTTCCCTCTACTTCTTTGTCAAGACAGTTCTCTGCTTTGAAAACTAGCTGCAGTGTGTTTATAGGAAGAATATGATGAGTTTTATTTCTGTGCTGCACTCACTATACTGTCTCTGAACCTGGCTGTGAGCTTCGTGTGCTGTTGAATATAAATGTTGAAGAATAGTACTCAAAAACGCTGTGCAAGAGAACCCCTACCCACAGTTATCAGTCTGTTTACAGGCACAAGCACCTGTACTGCCTTCCAAGGTATCTTCTCTGAAGTATCTTAATAGATAAAACCAAGAGTAACTAAGCACCCCATGCCACTCACTATCACAGCCAATAGCAAACACATGCAGCAAGCAGAGCACATCTGTGATAGAGTGGCTTTTTTTGTTATTAAGGGAACAAGCCAAAAGGTACCCAGGTCCGGAAGAACATGTCCTATACCTACTAGTCAGAAGAATGCGGAAATACAATTACATCTTTGTTATTGGAACACCATGCAAACCATTTAGACATGATTTTGAAAAAATCATTAGAAGAAAATGTGCTTACTGTCTTTGACAGTCCAAATGAGTAAGTCACACAGGCCTTACCACATTAAAAGCGAACACGTTTCAAGGGAATTAGAATGTCAGCTTTCATTACATTCAGTACCGATCTGCATTCTGAAGGATAAATGCTATTATCCAGACAACCTGTGAACACTTTGTATTTTTGTAGACAAACCAAGGCATTGCTTCCAAGGATTTCTCAAACACGGAGTCTCAGATAATTTAGTTTAGAAGGGTCAAGTCTGTGCTATCTTTAAGGCCTTCATTTGGTCATGTCTGAATAACTTTGAGGCAGCCTCCCCAGGCAACCTGTGCCAGGGCTTCACCCTCACTATAAATACTATATTTCCTTTTGCGTAGTTGGAATTTCCTTTAATATAACTTGTGCACATAGTCCTTCCTCCTGTATAGTGTCCCACACATTCTACTATGCCTAAGCAAGAATTACAATATCATTTATAACTGCAGCAAACTCGCTGCCAAAAGGTTTAATAAAGATTTGCACATCTACATGGCTGAAGCACTTAGTCATGTACCCCCACTGAAGCACAGAAAATATAGTGTTTTTGTTATAGTTTTTGCCATATAGAGGACAAGATGCTTATGTAAACAGCAGCTTGGACTGAAACTAAGACTGAGAACACTGGCATACTACTTCAGTAATGGATGCTACAGAGGAGAGTGACAGGAGGCAAAGTAACATCTGAGGTAGAGTGCAAATTTGGAATTGATCAGAGGAAATCCTTCAGTCTAGTCCCTAGACAGAGATGGCTTATTGCAACATGAATTAAAATGACTACAACAGAATAAATTACTCCAAACAAATTTCAACATGGATTTTAAAAGACACCATTCAAGCTTAGCAAGTAAATTTGCGAATATGAACCAGACAGGTTCCAAAACAAAACATTAAAATCTGTATCACTTTGTGGCATTTATAAAATGAAGAGAGAAACAAGTAATTCATCTGCTTTTTGGTAATGAAATGGGGTGTGAAACTTCTTGGTTGTAGCTGATTTGTCAAACCTTTGAACAAAATATTACTTCTGGGAAACAGATGTGTGACAGATACTTTCTGTAGCAGTCTGTATGTTATAAAGGTGTGAGAGTCCAAAGGAGGTCTACAAAGATGGGAAATGGTCCGAAGAGCAAAGTGCGTAAGGAGCAGCTGAGGTCCCGTGGTTTGTTTGGCTCAGAGAAGAGGAGGCTGAGGATATTCTGAGTTCATCAGGCAGGCTCTTTGCTCCATGTATTTCTCTAGATTTTAACCCTTTCAAGAGGAGGATGTTTTTACAGCTTATGTCATGCTCTCATGCACTGCATTTTGTGAGCACTGCTCCATGTCTTTCCCAGCAGAATTCTACACAGTGCCAACTGTCATTTGGGATAAATATTGACCAACTCCTACTTAAATAAATGGTTGCATTTCTCCAGGAAGTATGTTACCAAAACTATTGCTAAAGATCTTTTGTCTTCCTAGTGCAGCTTCTTGCATCAATCATTCCAAGATCACTCATCAAAAGGTGAGCCTCTGCTGTGGTCTTAATTTTAATTGTTTGTAGCAAAAAGGGGATTCAGAAAGTAGGTAAAGATGTCATAAAATATCCAGGTTTTGAGCCAAGTGCATTTCATTATTGAAAACTTAATAATAAGTTGCAGTAGGCAGCCATTCAGAATAATAGTTAGCCTGTAGAAAAAGTACAGAAACAAAACATTTCGTTACTCCTTAAGGTTATCCCATAGACAAAAGGAGGGTGAGTACATGTAGGGTATAAATGAGGTTCCCCAGCTGTTTTTTCCTGCAGTTGCATTCGTTTAATATGTCAACATAAGAGCAGTGGGGAGAGAAGATAAATGTCTCACATTATTATCAAGGTGTTTTCACCCTGACTTCCTATCTGACACTGGATCTGCAGACGTCATGGGAGAATCTAAAAAAGAAAAAAAAGAAAGAAGTTATGTTCTGACAGTACACACCTATACAGAATGCATAATATAATTAAAGATTTATCTTAGAAATTTTCTGAAAATTTAACGGAATTAACATTAAACAGTTGCTGAAATAAATGGCCTAAAAATCTTTGCTTGAATTCTTCCATCTGTTCTTAAAGCTAAGCAATATTGCAGGGTAATTTTAATATGTGATTACTTAATTTCAGTTAACTATGGATTATTTTGATAGCTGATATTCTTTTAATGATTAATAAGTAGGCTGACTAAATGTTAAGCATTATTAAACGTGCTTTACATAGCATGAGTTAGAACAAAAAAGCCCTTCAAAAATTTATCTTTCCAATAACATGCTGAAAATATTTAGGAGTCATTTTTCTTCTGGCAACATAAAGAAACCTTAAAATAAAAGAGGGAAGAAGGAGTGGGGATAATACAGATGGTAAACTAAGCAGTGCTGACATTTTAGAGCTTTCTATACAGCTGGTGTGAAAAGATGTTTTAAGCTCTTAAGAATGCATTTAGGCACAACTTCAAGTTCATCAGTTTCCTGACTTGGCAAACTCAGCCATATCACCTGGTATTGCTGATGATTTCATTAACATTACTCCTATCTGACTGGTCAGATTTAGGCAGATGTCCACCTGCGAACACTTACAAAAGCCACTGAGAAAATGAACTCCAGAGAGATTCAGCTGACTTTTAGAATTTAAATTTAATCCTGTATAATTCTTTTTCTTTTTTTCTTTCGCAGATTCTGTTTCTTATGTGGTTCTTGACTGCTTCGTGCTGAGAATGCACTGTACCTTCAGTCCTTTTTGACTAGTCTTTCAGCTGCTTGTCTTCTTGGGCCTTTACCAAGGTAAGATCTAGGGAAGTCAGTCTACTAGCATGCCCGTAAATTATTCTGCTTTGTGGTATCATGTATACAGGTTATATCTGCTTTAAATAGTGTAATAAATGCTTAATATCAAGTTTCAGGTTGAAACCTCAGGAGTTCTTGAGCTATTTGTTTTTTTTTTTTTCATTAAGAAGAAAGTGTAACTGTGGTTATGTGTGGAAATGTAGAAGAACTGGTAGTGCTTTCAAGAGGTTTAATTAATGGTTCTCAAAGGGCTTTACAGCAGCTTAAAGCCAAATAAAGAAGGAGGTCACTCTGTGACAGCAGTAGTGTCCTGGAAGCATCATAAGTCACCATTAAAACTTCAAGGTAAACAGAATCTCTTAAACGTACTCTTCTACAAACTTAAGACACTGCTGACTGAACAAAGTGTTAGAAATAGTCTAGGTAGCACAGAAGAAACAGAGAAAGGGCAGACATGAGTTCTCATTAGTTCTTCCAGATGGCGGACTCTTAGAGCTCAAACCAACATTTCAAATATATTTTACACAAGCTGTATGCAATTTGAAAGCTCACACAGTCACCCACTTCTTTATCTTGGACTAGACCGTATAAGAGGGTATATCACTGAATATTATACATATATATATATATATATTTTTTTTTCCTCTGTGTGTGTGCATATATATATGATATATATATAAATATATAAGAGAGTGTAATCACTGAAATAGAAAATATCTCATTCAGTCATTTCTACTTCTGCTAGTCCACCAGGTGTGTCTTCTCCATTCCCTTTGTGTGCTGGGCTGTCATTTCCCCTAGCCTTCCCTATTCTTCCCCCATTCCATTAGTTTTGGGAGCTGCTGGGTCTACTCATAGCCTAGGGCTGGCTGTGGCATAGAGCCAGATTATGAGCCCTTCTGTCCCTGTTCACTACCACTTCCTATGTGCTGAAGTTTCAAGCTCAGTCAGGCAGGGCCTCTGCCCTGGGACCACATCTTCTTAATGTTCATGACTTGAAGATGTTTATTCCCTGGGGGTTCTTGAGTGTTCTATGACTAGCATAATCTTATATAGATGATAGATAGGTGAATGGTGAGCTGGTTTGAGAACTAGCTGACAGGCAGAGATCAATTGCTATCATCAGCAATTCAGAGTCTGTTTGGAGGCTTATAACTAGCAGTGTTCCCCAGGGACTGGTGCTGAGCCTAGTCTTGTTGAACATCTTCATCAAGTTTGCTGATGATATGAAGCTGGGAAGATTGGCAGACTCACCTGAAAGCTGTGCTACCATTCAACAAGACCTGGACAGGCTGGAAATGTGGGCAGGGATAAACCTGACGAGGTTTAACAAGAACAAGTGTAGAGTCTTGCACCCGGGGAGGAACAACTTCATGCGTCAGTACTGGTTAGAGGATGCTGGAAAAGAGCTCTGTGGAGAAGGACCTGCGAGTTCTGGTGGACTGCTGGTTGGCCACGAGCCATTAGTGTGCCCTTGTGGCTAATCATGCTAGTGGAATCCTGGGGTGCATTAAAAACAGTGGACAGCAGGTCAAGGGAGATGATCCTCCCCCTCTACTCTGCACTAGTGTGAGCACATGTGGAGTATTGTGTCCAATTTTGGGCTCCCCAGTTCAAGCAAGACAGGGATCTTCTAGAAGGAGTCCAGTGGAGGACCAAAAAGATGACAAAGGGCCTGGAGCATCTCCCCTATGAGGAAAGGGTAAGTGAGATGTCTGTTCAGCCTGGGGTGGAGAACACTGGGTGGGGGCCTGATAAATATTTATAAATATCTAAAGAGAAGTGGGATGCAAATAGATGAGGTCAGGCTCTTTTTGGTGGTGTTTAGTGGTAGAACAAGGAGTAATGGCCTAAAACTTGAGCATTAGACGTTGTGTATTACTGTGTGGAAAAATTTCTTTACTATGGGGGTGACAGAACAGTGGAACAGGCTGCCCAGAGAGGTTTTGGAGTCTCCTTCTATGGAGATATTCAAGACCTGTGTGAACATCTACCTGTGTGACCTATTGTAGGCTGCCTGCTTTAGCAGTGATGTTGGACTCAATCTCTTGAGGTCCTTTCCAGTCCAATTCTGTGAATGTAGGACACAATGGATATGAAAGTGATCTACACCTCTGTATTGCATGCCACATATCTTTCAGTCTGCTTCATCAGGCAGCCAGACTAAGGGCTTCAGAGGAACTGACTTAGTTTCCAAATAAATCTGTAAGTTACATATGGATGCTAAAAGTGTTGCACATCAGTTTGTACACAGGCTATTAGGAAAAGCACAGTGTAGTTCACCTTTACTGAAAAACACATTTTCTGTTCCACTCTGTGTATTACTGTGGATTAGTGATGAATATACTGAAGTAAGATAAACATTTTGCAGCTTTTCCTTTCCTTCTTTCTTGCTCTGATGAGGGAAAGAAACTATCAACAGCAAATAACAGAGTGGTTTGAGTTGGAGGAGACCTCAAAGTCCACCCAGTCCCAACTCCTGCTGTGGGTTGGGCTACCATCTCCCAGCTCAGCTGTTCAGGGCCCAACCAACTTGGTCTTGAGCATCTCCAGGGATGGAGCACCCACAACTTCTCTAGGCAGCCTGTGCTAGTGCCTTACTGCTCTAAGATCTAAACTGAAAAGAGAATAAGCTCAGCATCTACTTTGACCTTGGTGGAACTGTTGAGGGATGGGATGAAGGAGGCAATGCTGTCTCAAGCAACCCTGCATTCAGAAACGTCTGAATGCAAAGGATCTGCATCAGAACTCTCTCCCTAAACCCAGTATTATTTTTTAAAAACCTAAGCAGTGCTTTTTTTTTTTTTTTTTTTTTTTTTTTTTTTTTAAGAAGGGAAGATTTGACCAGATGCAGCCATTTATGTACTCACCTATTGTATACTGTTCCCTTCCTACCCCACAACTCTCAGAGGAATAAACTACTACATACCCTACCAAATATTTGGATAAACAACTGCGTGGCATTAAAGAGCTACTCTTTGTAATGTAGGAACAATCCTTTGGGAAGTGACCAAAATCTACATCTTTCCTCACCCGCAGGCTGCAGGCATTTTCTCTTTCATGTGCTTGCTCTGGTCCTTCTCCACACAATCTAAATATAAAATAACCATGCTTAATCGATCCCTAATAGGTGAGTGTCCAACTGGCCCTTAATGCCCTCTGAGCTAGAGTTTGCCTCATCTCCTTAGACAATTTCTTTCAGGGCTCAACTAACCTCTCAAATTGTGCAGTTTTGTCCAAGAAATGCTAGATAGATGGTCTTGTCTCAATAAAGTTTACAAGACCATAGACACCGTAGAAGAATCTTTACTGAAAAGTCACCAAAGAAAACATAGGATCTGGTAGTGGCAGGAAAATGGATGTGAAAATACTGAAGGGAAAAAGGCTGCACTGACAGTGGTGAGACCAATGGTAAGACAGACAAAATCCCCAGTGGGAATGTTGCTCAGGGTGCTTGGTCTGGGATTTAGGCATTACAGCCAAATGTATCATATGGCAAATTAGGCATTACTTACAGACATTAACAATTCATACTTAAGCCAATAGGACCTATGATTCTTATCACGTTTCATCCTCTATGTGTTTTGAGTGCTCTAAATGTGATAAAGTCTTTAAAGAAATCTAGTTTCATTTTTCTTGACATGCCTGCTTGACAACACTTAGCAAAGACATTTCTAAGGGAATGAATTAAAGTAACTTCAAAACAAGTCTGTTACTGCTCAGCAGCTTGGGTTCCTGCCAGCAGGAAACAAAGTGATGATTCTTCAGTTGAAGTAGTAAATGAGAATTGTAAATTCTCGACAAATGTTGACTTGGTGTGTTATTTTATTTTATTTTTTTTTCCCCAGTGGTGTCAACTTTATTATAGAAGCAGTTCAAAAGTAAAAGTGGCAAGGGTTGAAGTCACAGTGTTTACAAGGCAGAATTGAGGGATGTGGACAGCTGCATTTCTCAAGGTAGAAGGAACAGCTGTGAAAAATCCAGGGGTAAAGCAACACTCAGGTTCTGGCATGCAGCAAAACCCATTGTCCTACTATCACCATCACCCCTTAAGTGTGGATGTGCTCAGCTTGGCTCAGTAAGCAGAGCCCCATATCCATTTTGCCCCATATGTGGCAGTATCCTTATGTCTTGTCTTGAAAACAATGCACCCTCTTAGTAATATAGATTACAAATTAGTGGTTGTTCAGGAAGAGGGATGATTGCTATTAAGCAATCCCTGTATTTCTGCAAATTGTTATATTTCCTGCAATGACCACTACAGTGACATTTACCCATATGCATTAGAGGTTTGTTTTCACTAGTTTATCCAAAAGTCTCAACATGTTGGCAAAACAAATTTGAAACACCATGCTGGAATACAGAAGCTTAAAAATGAAAATATGTTTTGAGTCATTAACAGAAATGACAGTTTGGAGATCAGAACGCAGCAAAGTTTTCTGAAGCAGCAATGAAGAGGTACAAGGTAAGGTGAGTGTCAGTATTTTATGAGCTGTTCATGTGTGTACTAATTGGTAGCATCTAGTTTTTATCTAATCAAGGAAGTGTGAATATGTGCCATATAAATTACACATCAATTGCTTCCTGCTATTGTCACAAAGATAGCAGTGTGGCAGGAGGCAGCTGAACTGCTCTTCTGGTACAACTTCTTGGGAACTGAA